TATAGATGTAATATTAGTTGGGCCCAAGAGAAGACGTGCATTTAGGGAGGTGCTTCATAGGACGTGCACTTAGGGGGTAGCATTTAGGGGGTCTGACTGTATTATAAATCCGTTATAATGAAATATCCGCTATAACGTTATATATCTGATATTATAATATAAAAATTTTATATTTTGTTCTTAAAAAATTTTAGAAGATTTCTCCACTATAGTGAGGGTTCCGCTATAAAAAATCCGTTATAAAGAGGGTAGACGGTATACCCATATACTCTTTTATTAACAATTTTAAGAAAAAAAAAGAAGGTTCTAAAATAATTTTAAATTTCATAATAAAATTTTCGCTTTAGTTGACATTAAAAATCTGCAAATAGTGCTTTAATTATTGATGTTTAAGTTATAAATCATTTTTAAAAACATTCTACCGAAAGACTTTGGGTGTTCACCTAGATGCGATTTCATAGTGATCGAAATAGTGCACAGATATTATGACGTAATTTTAGCTATTCTCATAACATTTTATAAACATACGTAATAATGCAAATGATAATATTATAAAGATATGCTCAAGTGTTACTATTACTGTGATTTGCTAATAATTGTAGTTGATTAAATAAAGATCTCAATCACCACTTGAGTAGATTTTAAAAACAAAACATAATAACAGCAATACGTTAGAAATGACAATTTAGGGACATTGGCTAATCGGAAGAAAGCCATTGAATGGTTACAAAAGTAAACAGTAGTACACATCAAGAACACCCATAACAATTATAATCTTTATTTAATGTAAACTTTTACCCGAAAAATTGTAAAAAAAACCGTCCTAATACAAAACTAATATTTAAAATGATACCAAGCTTACATTTCGAATTTGAAATACATATAAACATCACTCATCGTACAGGATTATTCTAAATTTTAATTCTATGTTGAAACAAGTATTGATAATGAGGTTGGTTTTCTGCAATTATATCGTAAACATATTGTGGATATTCAATTTCTTCATCATTACTGATTGTTTTGTCGAATCCTGTGCTTTGCATCGCGTTCCTATTTTATTTATATTATATATATAGTTAATACATGAATAAAAAGGTTCCGTAAAATGATAAGCATACTTATGCCACAAATAATTTAAATCTTGAACGTGATATAGGCCTGACATTTTTGTATCCCATATTTCTACTCGTTCTGATTTCCATTCAAGCATTTCTTTAGTGAATTCTATATTGACCATCTCACAATATTTCCTCAAAATTTTTTCGGGTTCTCGAACTAAATCATCAGCATCCACCAATGCAATCGTTTCTTCGGTTACATTCTTAATTAAATCATAAAGGATCCGCGATTCTTTGAGCCCAATTTTGTTTGAGGAAAAAAGTTCAACTCTTTCAAAATTAGGAAAGCCGGCCTTGTCCCAAGCATTATATGGGGGTGAGTCAATAGAAATCAAGCAAATTGTTTTTATTAAAATTTTTTTAAAATTTTATATACCAATAACT